GGGTCAGGGAAAGCTTTCCTGAGAAAGTGATCTTTATTCAAAGAGCATCTTTTCCTCCCTTGCATAAAAAAAGCCATTGAAAAGAATTGAAGATTTTTTTTTTAGTAGAATTTTAAAAACAGTGGTTTCTTTTTTTAAACTGATTTTCATACAAAGAAATAACAACATATGTTTGTAAAACTGTAAGTGTATTTTGAACTGGGAAAGATCCTCTGGTGATGATACTCTATAAATTAGATGAGATAAATTATTTAAATGAGCCATTTTAAAAATTAACCAAAAGAAAAAAATTCTTGTATTTTTGAAGTGAGAAACCAGATAAGAGTACTATTATATAAATAATACTAGATGTGTTCGCTCTCTCTCCCCCCTCCCCCCCCCCCACCTTGGATAGAACGAAAGATTTGATTGCCCACATTTTGGGAGGCCAAAATGGGAGGTTCTGTTGAGCCCAGGAATTCAAGACTAGCCTTGGCGACAGAGGAGACCCCATCTCTACAAGAAATAAAAATATTGGCTGGACATGGTGGTGTGTGCCTGTAATGGTGTGTGCCTGTAGTCCCAGTTACTCAGGAGGCTGAAGTGGGAGGATTGCTTGAGTCCAGGAGATTGAGGCTACGTTGAGCTGTGATCATGCCACTACATTCCAGCCTAAGCAACAGCAAGACCATGTCTCAAAAAAAAATTTTTTTTTTGATTATGTGCTGTTTAGTTTAAATATGGAAGCTGCTTTGGTCACTTCAGGTCTGTTGTCATACTGTAGCAGAGATTAACATTTCTAAGTTCCTGTATCAGGAAATGAACATAGAGAAAAGTATGAAATGTTTATAGACCACATTTTGTAGTATCAAAGCTTTTGTGAAGTATTATGCATTCATAGATGGAATTATTTAAGATTTACCAACTAAATTTTAGACATATTTTTAAGTATAGAAATTAATGGTTTTTGTAATCTTTCCATGCATCAACTGATTTTATCAATTATTAATAACGAGTGCTTTCCATTTTTATAAGATGGGAACAGTGATTGTTTAGGCTGTATTTGGAAATATTTTTGTGTTCAATAGCATATTGTGGCTAAAAGGCTGGTGTAATAGATAATTCTGATAGTATTGCTCTGTCCTTCATGATGTATATCATCTCATGTATTTTAAAAATCTGATTTACCTTAGTGGCTATTAACAGAATTGAAGATCTTAATTAAGAGTCCTGGGAGCCATGTTTGACCCGTTTTGTTAGCATAGTAACTTTCTATCAATTTAGAATATGCAGCATAATAGTTGTATATTTAATGATCTCACTGATTTACTTCCTTTATGTTTTAAAATTGAAATAGCATTCATTTACCAGTCCCATTGGTTGATCCACTCCAGCTCCAACTTAACCATTGCTTGCTTGGTTTTTGTTCTTTTCTTGTCACTGCAACCACTCCCTTAGGCCATTTACCTTCAACCTGTGTTCTCCAGCCTGTTGGAAGTTACTACATTATTTTGCTTTGTTGTCTTCTATTCTGTCAGCCCTGTGAGTGCTCTGGTTTATGATATTTTTCCCTTTTGCTCTGTGAGCAACCATGCTTATTGGTATTCGAGAAGAAGTTTAAACTCCTAGTCAACTAACCTATTTCTTTCATTGGGGCTCTATTTGATAGCTAAGCTACCTTCTACTTTTAAAACTACATGGATGAATACATACATGAAAACATTTTGCTATTCTAATTGCTGTAGTTTTTTTTTTTTTCTCTTTAAACTGTGGGGTTTCTGCCTAATTTATACTTATCTGGAAACTTCTGGTGTTTTAATATGGTTTCAGTGGGGGGTGCCTGGCTGTCACCTTTCTAGACCTTTTTATTCTGTGTTTATCAAAGAGATCTTTATTCCAAGTTGTCTAAGTTATTGCTACTAGAAGTGTAGTCTGTAGGCCAGCAGCATCAGCATCACCTATTTGTTAGAAATTCAGAATCTCAAGTCCCACCCCCAAGACCTTATGCATGTTAATCTGCATTTTAGCAAGATCTCTACTTGTTTGATAAGAACATTGAAGTCTGCAGAGCACTGCTGTAGGTATCAGACAACTAGATGATACATTGACATGCTAATAGTTGTACATTTCTAGAACCGATTTTAAACATATGACTTGTGATAATCTTATTTAAATATTTGTGAATTATTTCATAACCATTCACCTTGTTTCACCAAAAGTTATACTCTGGGTGGGTATTACTACTACTGTGTGAAAGGAATGACAGGAATAATCCCAAACAGTAAACTACCCCCAGTCCTTGAAGTGAAGTTTTGGTGTACAGTTGTATGTAATGTAAAACTGTGACAAACATTTTGCAAGTCTATTGTTCCTTCTCCCAGCATCAGTTTGCACCTGTAGATGAAGACCTATTATTCCCTTCTTGTCTCTTGGATAGTGACTTTTAAACAAAGTTGCTTTTGCTAAATTGAACCTCTAAGGTGTTGGGGAAAATATCTAATTTTTATCCTTAAATGAGAGAAATTATGCCTTACTGATACTTGATATGTGGATTAATAGTATATGCATATAATCCCAATAAGTACATATTGAGGATTCATGTCCAACTCTTGCTTGTATTTGAGGAAAAAAATTTATAGACTCCTATTTTCTGGTGCACTATGACAATCCCGGTCATTAGCAGTGGGAACAGCAAAAAGGTTAGGTTAGCAGGGTAAAAGACACTACGTGTAATTTACAAAGTTATTAAATTATGTGTAGTCATTTAGCGACACCATAAATATATTTCAAACTTAGATATATTTGTATAGTGGTGCTTTAGGAAATAATTTTTTTTAAAAAAACTGCAGTGTTTTTACTTTTTGTTGTTCAAGAATGAGGAGAACTGGGAGAATGCAAAATTACTCTTTCATTCTCCTTTAGCATTCAAATGTAGTGTGAACAATGTAGCTGTTCCACAAGCACATTTTAATTGGCATTTTTCTAGAGTAGTATTGTTTTAGGATGACAAACAATATTTAAGTGAGTATGTTTATAGGTTTTGATGCCTTCCTTTGTGTGCCTAAGAATGACAGTGGGAAGGGTGGCAGAGAGAACATCCAGATGTATGTGAGATAGTGATTTGTCACTTAGTATTCATTTTAAGTAGTAAAAGCAAATTCTATGGGCCAGGCGTGGTGGCTCAGGCCTGTAATTCCAGCGCTTTGGGAGGCCAAGGCTGGAGGATCTCTTGAGCCCAAGAGTTTGAGACCAGCCTGGGCAACATAGTGAGACCTCATCTCTTAAATTTTTTTTAAAAATTAGTTGGGTGTGGTGGTGCACTACTATAGTTCCAGCTACTCCCGGGAGGCTGAGGTGGGAGGATCACTTGAGCCCGGGAGGTTGAGGCTAGTCAGCAGTGATCACGCCACCGCACTCCAGCCTGGGCAACAGAGCAAGGCCCTGTCTCCAAAAAAGAAAAAAAAGGTAAACTCTATGGGGTGACGTTAGCTAAGAGCCATCCTATTTCATATATGGGGTCTACTAAATGTGGCTGTATCAGACAGGACTTACAGTTGTGGTTACCAGAGAACACTTGTGGTCATAAGTTGTGAATGTCACCCAGATTCTTCTTGAATGTCTATCTATCACATGTCTATCAGTAATTCTAAAGTATGTAAAAATGAAACAAAGATTTATTTGGGAGTTAGCACTCCCAGAAGATTAGTTTTAAAACAGAACAGCAGAAGGAGTTGTGACATGCATCTATAAGCAACTTTGTAATGATTTGACAGTTATTTAGCCCTCTATTCCTAGCCCTTTCATTGAACTGACAGCATGCCTGCAAAGATAGTGAGGCCTGTTCCAGTCGCACTAATGTCCTCTTAAATGGTAGCCTGCAGTCTGGGTAATGATAAATGTTCAGTGATTCATGATTTTTTTAGTCCCAGGGGATTCTGGATGGTTTCTGGCTTCTGTGAGCCAGCGTAGTTTTGTCTCTTACTTGGGCTTCTTATACATTTGTTTGGTCTTTACCATGTCGGTTTTAAATTGGCAGAGATATATATGACCTGCAGTTTTAATTAATAGAGTTCAAAGCCTTCTTTAGAAACAATATGATTTTGGAAGTGATGCTGTACTTAAGAGTGTGTAAAAGTCTGAGAACCAGTACAGGTTTCATTACATAGTAATTTTGTAACACTTGTTTTTGTTTGTAAATTTTACCTTTTTTCCCCTTTGCTTTAAAAAAAGTATGTTTTCAACTATAAGGAGAAATGTAATAACAGCTACTGTGAAAGGAACATTAGCTTTATTGTTTTTATGGTGTTTGTAATTTCTTTCTTAATAATTTAAATCAGCTATTTTTAATAATTGTTTTCCTTTTTACATGGCTCGGTTTCTGTAGGAATATATATTGTTATACTACAGTAGTATTAAAATGAGTGTAAATAGACCTTTTTTGTTGAATATTTGCCATTTGGGAAAGGATTCATTTCTAGCATATTGATTGTGGATTAGTTTTAGTATTTTAAGTCAAACTTGTAATTGCCTAACCCTTTATTTTTAGGGTCTGGAGGAAGGGATTGAATAGGAGGATAAAAATAAGCATTTCCCTAATTTATTACAATTAAGAAATATATTTTCTTAATTCATTTTTTTAAAAAAAATATCCATTGTACTTCCCTTTGGATGTAAAGTAATCTTAGAGGTAATTTTAGTAATAATTTACAGAATTCTTATAGCTCCCCATCCCATCAGAAAAGCTGATACTTTGAAAATATTGGTGCTCATGGTTAGTGTTTATTTATAGAAACCCACTTTGCTTTACGATCATTGAGAAAATGTTTTTTGACATTAAAATCTTAAAAGGAATAAAAGAAGCACTTCTGCTGTTAGCTTTTCAAATAATGAACAAGAAACTTGGTTAGAGATGACCATGTATGTGTAAGTAAGTCTGTATATTAATTAGGTGAGTGTCATTATGCTCAATTAGCGGGACTGCCAAATAATCTCTTTAATACTCTGATCTTTTTTCCCCCTAGGGTTTTACAGACAGCCCTCATTACAGTGATCACTTGAACGACAGTCGATTAGGAGCCCATGAAGGCTTGTCCCCAACACCTTTCATGAACTCAAATCTGATGGGTAAGTTGGTAATTCTCTGCAAGTAGTCTTCTCAAAGCTTCTTTGGTCAGAGACATTTTTTATCCCTTTGTCCAGGAGGGACAGGTAAGTATCTAGAAGAAAGTTCTTGAGTTTCTAGCGGCATTTAGGGCTTTTCTTGTTCAGCACAGCTTGAGGATCAAATGTCCAGAAAATTTGGAGTCTTCTCTTAAAGCATTATTGTTTTGGTGTCAAAAAAGGAAGTGGCAGTGTTTTGATTGTCAGTTTTGACAATGTCTTTGTGACCTCAAGCATTACATGTGTTCTGGGGCAGAGAAGTACTGTTTTAGGGGCATTTGTGATGTTACTATTTCTCTTAACAATAGTATTATGTTGTAATTAAAAATGTAACATAGCAGTGATTTTAGGCAGATTTTACTTGCATTGGACAGTATTTCTCCTGGCACAATTTGATTAAAACATAGTAGATTTAGATATTGCAGCATTGTTTTAAGCACTTGGCTTCATACTAGGACTTTTTTAAAGTTTTGGTTTGAAGAAGTGAAGTTGCACTTTCAAGAAGGGTATGAATTACCATCTAAACCTGATTTTTATGTTTTGGCAAAACCTTTGTGGTTAATCATGCTCTGCAAAACACCCCTCCTTTCCTTTCTCCTTCTCTGTCTCAAATGAAAGTTTAAAGTTGTTCAGTCTAAAATTATAAACCCAAGCGTGTTTTTTTTCAGTTGGAATACCGTTTTTTAAATGTGTAAATATTTTACCTTTTTGCAAAACCTGATTGAAAATAATCTGTATGTTTTATGACATTTTTTTCTTGCGTATGCTGGGGCTGAGCATATTACAAAAACTTTCATCTGTTTTACCAGTTATAACTGTTTTACCAGTTATTGGCATCATATAAATATTGAAAGTTTGTGTAATAGACCTTGATTTCATTACTTATTTTATTTCTTAAGGACATGACCTATATTGTGATCTTAGAATCATCCTTTTAAGACACAGCCATACTAATCTAAGTAGATTACCCAAATCCCAAATCCTGGTGGTCTGCAATTTCTGTAAAATGATTTGCTTTGCACAGTCTTTGTTTCCTTTATTCTCTGTAGTGTTGAGGAGACAGAGTCTGATCGTCTAGTGTGGATTTTGCCTAAGGTGGTTGACAGTTTGAAGCCAGAAGAACCATTAGAGTATGACAGAAGAGTGAAAAAAATCTAATCAGCAATGAAACTTGTGTTGAAAATCACAGTATTAAATGTGTTATCATTCCAGATAAAAAATCAGAGTTAGGTTTATAGTAAATTATTTGGGTAGGGAAAACTTTCTAATTTATTTTTTAAAGTTTTAATTCAGCTTGCCATCAAAGTAAAATCCATGTAACACTCCAGATAATTTCCTTTTGGAGTATAACTTTTCCCCAAGTAGGATTTAATTTATGTTAAGTGTAGTAGGGCAAGTAAAAGTCAGTGTTTTTGTAATTTTGGATTAAACTAAGCTTTCTTAATTGAGAATATAACTCTGAACTGTAAAAAATCAGAAATTGCTCTTTTTGTATTTATGTTCTTACCTTTATTCTTCACTCATAGAGATGACTTTTAGGCCCAATGGAATTTCATCATTAGCACAGCTTTGTGCCAAGGTGACGATTAAAATTTTGTACAGGACAAGTGTGGAAATTAAATGAATACTAAGAGGTATATATGTCAGTCACTTGCTCTGAGCAGATGTTGACTAACAATATTTCTGTAATTCACTTTGAGGTAACATTTTCTCAGTTGGAGCAATTACAAGCATGTGCTTGTTGGTTTCTTTAGTTTTCAGACGATTTTTAGAATACTTTTAATAGTCATCCATACCCTGTGTATAAAATCAACATCTAAAAAAAGTCTTGAAGTAAATAATTATTTGTAAGTAGATTGATCTCTTAACAATTCAAATGAAAAATTCTGCATTCTTCTGAACTACATTGTTTAGGTACTACTTTGTATCAGATGCAGATATACAAACCATACATTTTCTTTTGTTATTTTCGAGACAGGGTCTCACTCTGTCACCCAAGCTAGAGTGCAGTCACATGATGATGGCTCACTACAGCCTTGAACTCCTGAGCTCAAGCTGTCCTCCTTCCTTAGCACAACACCAGCTACTTTTTTTGTTTTTTATTTTGTAGAGATGAGGCCTCACTGTGTTGAGCAGACTGGTTCTGAACTCCTGGCCTCAAGTGATCCTCCTGCCCCAGCCTCCCAAAATGTTGCAATTATAGGCATGAGCCACCATGTCTGGCCCAGACCATACGTTTTATTTGTGAGTTTTAACTACCTAATGTAAAAATACTTACTTATATATAAAAGAAGGAGAGAGAACCCTGAAATGATTAAGCAGATAGGTTCAAAAGAAATTCACTGGTCATTGGCAATATCTGATATACTTCACTTATCTTTATTTTCAGTAAAAATGATCAAATGAGATACCTTAGTCTAACAACAGTGTAAACAATCTGCACAACAATAGCTTGCTTTTGGAAATGAATGCCTCTTAAATCACAATGCAGTTCCATATAGCAACAGGCAGTCCAACTCGATATGAGCTGAAGTAACTGAACTAACACCCAAACGTGGGTTTATAGCAATATGTAGAATTACAATGTATAGACTGACTTTTCTGGCTGTTTGATAATTTAAGGGAGTTTCTGGCTGAAAAACCTAAATTGTTAAAGTTCTGCTGAGATGTGTATGGTAGTATTGGAAGCATTTGGAACTGTTGATACCCAATCATCTCTACAGGTAACAGTTGAGAGTGGTGCTGTGAATGATGAATGTTCAGAAACAGTTAAAACTAATAGGAAAGCAGTAACATTTCATGTTGCTGTCAACATATAAAAACACCATTAAGTAGGGGAGGGATTGTACATCTAGGGAATGTTGTTATTTTGAGTGTTATGTTCAGCCATAAGCACATTTGCCTGAAGAAATTGTGGATTATAAAGCACCACTGTCTTCTGTGATAGAGCTTCCAGGCACTTTAATGATTTTGTACATTGCAAAAATGTGAAATTTTGTCTAACAAGGGTTGATAACAATTCAATAATGAACTATTTGCGACAGAAAGTGTGTTTATATATTCATGTAGATATTTTGAAGTGTTTTATGCTGAATCAGTTAATGTTTCTTTTATGAATTGCAGAATTCTCCTGTGGATATGTCAATATGGGAAAGAGGGCTTTTCTTATGTGTCAAGTGAAATAAGTACATCTTTTTGACACATCACTAGGTAATTAGCATCAAGCAATTCTGTACTCTGTAATATTACAACTAGATGAAAAGCTTTGACCATAGCAGTGAATCCCATGGTCAGTTCAAGTCTACTATCACCAAGTAGCCTTGTCTATCTCAAGCTTCTTCCGGCTCTGGTCCATTTCTCCACCCTTGATTCTCTCGTTAATTTCAGTAATATTTGTTTTCCTTTACCTATTCATAATTAGTCATATTTTTGATGATGGCAGGATCAGTTTACTAGTTGAACTTAGAAACAAATTATTCTCACAGAATTACCTGCCTTCCATCCCCAAGTGATTGTGTAATAAACTACTATTATCTTTTTATCCCTACTTGTTTATAAGCTTTACTTATTTTAGGATGTATGTATGTCTATATGTGATAAAAGGGAGACTTAAGGTGTAAGATTATCTTCGCTTTTGCTTGTTTTCTGAGACCCTTAATTGTGTTCCTTTTTGAGACCCTATTTTGCCTCTAGAGATGGTTTGTTAACAATTTTTCTTTTCGAGAGTGAATGTAATATGTGGTGGTACGGGGGAAATTGCAGGGCTGAGAGTTAGGAGGTGTGGATTTTAATCTAGATTCTGAAAATAATCATTGCCTTTCTGATAAGGTAATGCTGAGAATTTTCAGAGGTCTTATGCAGCTCTAGAATTTTACAATTCCATAATCTCATAAATTTAATAACTTTTACTCAACCCTGAAAAAGGCTGCAACTAGAATTATAATTGCTATTTTGCAAATGATTAAAACTAAGGCAGAGGACAATTAAGTGTTTCTTTCTGAGGTCACAAAGCCAGTAAATGTCAAAACTAAATGTAGAACTTGTATCTCCTGACTCTTAGTTAAATGCTGTTTCCATTAGGCCACACTGTTTAGGTGTTTAAGATACCTGTTCTTTCTTCATATCTCAGGTTTTTTACTAGCGCAGCATTTTCTTAAACCATAATTACGGAGACACTGATCTTGAGGGATGACCGTGGAAAAAAGTCACGGTTCCACAGTGAAATAACTTTGGACACCATTTTGTGTCAGTTGTTCCCTCTTAGAAATTCAGATTGTTCTTTGGAATGTTAAAGACTCTGAAAAAAGAAGCTGATTTAACTTTGTTTAGCTTCCTACACCCCAAAATCACATTAGGCACAGAAGGCTTTCTGTAAAAAGCATCATTAGCTTCTGAGAAACTAGTTTTCCATGGGACACTGAGAAATGTTTCTGGTTTTTTAAGGGAAAAAAAAAGATCATGAAAGATCTCTGAAAAGTAAAATAGCGTGATGTTAATAGAATTGCTATACAGTCATCCCTTAGTATTTGTGAGGGATTGGGTCCCCTGATACTCAACTCCCTTGTATATATAAAATGGTATAGTTTTTGCATATAACCCACGCACATCCTCCTATATACTTTAAATCATCTATAACTTACATATAATACCTAACACAATGTAATTGCTGTGTAAATAGTTCTTATGTTGTATTGTTTAGGGCATAATGACAAGGAAAAAAATGTCTGTGTACATCAGCACAGATGCAACCATCCATTTTTTTCCCCTGAATATTTTCAAATTGTGGTTGATTGATTTCACAGATGTGGAACCCACAGATAGAGGGCAGACTGTATATACTGTTGAAACTTATTTTAGGCATGTTAACTCATTTAACAGGTTGGGTCTAATTGCTCAAGTATATTATTGTCAAACCTCTGCTTATAAGCATTTGACTTATAAGCAAACCAAGTGTCTTCACATTG